ACTACCTACTACCTACTACCTACTACCTACTACCTACTACCTACTACATACTACATACTACATACTACATACTACATACTACTACCTACTACCTACTCCCTACTCCCTACTACCTACTACCTACTACCTACTACCTACTACCTACTACCTACTACCTACTACTAATACTACTACTAGACTACTACTACTACTACTACTACTACTACTACTACTACTACGACTACCGCTACCGCTACCGCTACCGCTACCGCTACGACTACGACTACGACTACGGCTACTACCGGTATACCACCACCACCACCACCACCACGACGACGACGACTACTACTACTACTACTACTACTAGTACCACCACCACTATACTACCACTACTACTACGACGACGACCACGACGACTACTTCTACGACAACAATATATCATGACATAAAGAGTGACATCAAGACGACCTGCGGAAATGATTCGTTTGTCCTGATCTCTGTCCATGGTGAAAGGTAAAACGATGTAAAACGACTGCCGCGAGCCTATGCGAGCCCTCACAACTATGGCATTGGCAGATTGAGGGTGATTGTCACCTGGGGTCTGGGGTTGGTCTGGGCCAAATTTGTAAGCTCTGCATTATATATTGAAATCTACATACGTTTCATCCATCCAATCGGTTCTGCCCACGGGCACGGTCCGGCCAAGAGCCCTGTAACATTCCGGGTGTCCTTGTACTCCTTCTCGTCCAGTCGATCTCGCTCCACCTGGCAGAGTGGGAGAGAGGCATGGGAAGCTAAGTCAGTACCCTCGGCTTTGCTTCATGTCGGACATTTCAGTCAAGATTTCACAATAGTCATAGAAGCTGTCCAAACAACGTGCATGTGCAGGTGCCCAGTGACTAGTGACCTCAAGTCGTTGATGCGCCGAGCTCTACGGGATCGTCTTTTCAATTCTCATCAAAAGAAGAGTGACAGTTGACTCAACACATCTCCACACATACCAATCAAAACATATTTAAACATACTCATATGCCATGATATGCTCATACAGACGCTCCAGCAGTCCGGCCCCATGACTGGTGGTTTTGGGGTGGTGCGTCCGCCGTATTTCCCGTCCCATGGAGCGGCTGGGAGGTGCAAACAGTCCACAAAAGCACCCCCATGGTCTTCATGGTTTTCCTTTCACGAAGACGAAGACGAAGACGAAGACAAAATGTATGTCATGGTGTTCATGTTTTTTCATGGTTTTCCTTTCACGATTGCTGGTCGAAGATGAACATTTTGATGTCTCACTTGCTGGTGAGCCCCTTGGAATGCCTCAATGGATGCCTTCTGCACAAGCAGCAATGTGGAATCACTGGGCTGCACTGAGATAATACTTGTACTTTCTTCTGAGATCACCAGAACAAGAGCCTGAATACTTTTCCACACTTCAAGATAGCCACACTTGCGCCTGAATCATGAGAAGCCTATTGCCATCAGCCTCCATACTTCGGCGCCAACGGCGGACCCTTGAAATCAAGGTCCGCGTCACTAAGAGTGGGACAGTGATGGCCAGTGTTTTTTCATAGTCTCTCCGAAAGCGGCTTCACATGGACAATAGATTTTCCTAGGGCGTTCAAGCCCTACGGAATATACAACAATGTGTGCCATCGAAATGTCAACAAACCATCCACCGTCCGAATCTTGCCATAACCATCCCATCCCACTTTCACTCAACATGTTCCCCACCTTGATGGCACTCAGCACCTGTGAGCGCGGGGAGTGTCTGCGGGTTTGCACCACTGGGTATGTCGTTTCAGAAGGCCCAGCCAACCACCAATTTGGTGTCCCAAGCACTGAAATTCAGAGACAAGGACTTCCAACCAGTGGATCGATCCTGCACCACAAAAGATCCGACTTGTAAGTCTCATTGTGTGAGCATTGTGAGCATAAACCAAAGCGAAGCAAACATGGCAGCACTGGAATTGATAAGAATTCACTGCAATTGGAGAGCTAGCCTGTCTTACATTCTCTCGCACCAGATCTATGACACATCTGTAGTACGCTCAGGGGAAGGAGAAATCTGTAAACCTGCTGTTGGATGCTGTTGGATTGGTTTCACGCATTGATGGTATTGTCTTTTCAAGTCAGTGACCTTGCTTGTCGGCAAGCGGCAAACATATGCCAATACGATCTATACCTGGATCTTCCAACTGTGCAACATGTCTGCCTTTTGACTGGATTTATAGATGAAAAGGCAAACCTGTTGCATAGTTGGAAGATCCAGGTATAGCCCATACGTCCACCTTTCACAGCTGCCGGGAGAAAAACACGTGGTCTACCTGCTGCATGTTCTTCACGATGAAGGCCGGCATGGTCTTGACTGGATGTCGTCCTCGGCACCCGCGGGCGGCAGTGACAGGTAGGGCTTTCAACACCTTGAGCCTTGAGCTACCAAATGGATACGGACTTAAGGGCAATGATAGACAAAACATGCTGCTGTGGTACCTCAGTGTGATCCATTAAGTTTTGATATTAATTGCCTTAGGTGCTGGTACACATCCAGCATAGATCCAGGAGTGGTGCATTGAACATCAGCCCCATGCAAATGCCAAGAAACCCAAAAGAATCATTGCAAACGCTGAATCTGAAAAAAGATCGTCTCTTAATGGCTCTTAAACACCTGGGTGTGTCCTCAAAACACGTCACTAGCAAGTACCCTTGTTCAGGAAAGTAGATTCCACAGCACAAGTCCATCTGTTGCGGAACTTGGTCTCCAAAACGCCGCCTCCGCTGCCGACGAGCGGCCGCAGGCGGACCAGACCGTTGCACGGCGCTCGTCCTGGCGATTCGGACTCGATCCAAGCGAAGATCACAGCGTTTCGGGCCAAGACCCCGGATGGGCGGGGGTTTTCAAAGTAGGTAGTGAGATGGAGTCAGTCACACATTCCCAACACATCCCGTTTGGGTGATGGGCAGCAAGATGAAGCAAGGTTGGCACGTCACAATGTTGAGCGTCCAAAATTGCAGTGAAACGAACGATAGAAACGGACAATCCTGTAATAGGCTCCTTTGAGATCCTTCAGGGAAAAGTCTGTAACGTGAAAAAGAGGGGCACCTCTTTTCGCACACAATCGCTTCACATCAACACCAAGCCCCCCGAGCCCCTATCGGCCGACATCGACGTCTTTCTCGGCGAGTCGACTGCCGCGATCCTCCTGGATCGCCTTGCCAAGGATGATGAACCTCTCCGGTGTCCGGTGGGAAAGCGGCTTTTGTGGGTTCCGTCGCTGTAGCGGTCCGCCAGGAAGATCCGAAGAAAGACATATACCTGGAACTTCCTCAGAGTGTCGTGTTGTGATCTTTTTCTGAAATGTGGTTCACAAACCTAAACAAAAGACAACAATAAAGGTATGTTGAACTACCGACCAAAAACACAAGCGAGCTCGGTTGCAGGTCCCTCGGCAACCAGTCCTACCTTCTCAGAAGGTCCTTGGATCCTCCCAAACCTACGAGGTCCAGTGTTGAAGACATCACCTTCTCAGAGAGTCTATGTGGATCCACACTAAATACTGTAGTAGCACGTACGGATACGTAATTACATGTCCATCTTGGGCCCTTGAATTAGCTCGGAAGTCATCCAATTGAAGTTACGTCAATATTCAGGACTCTGTAGATCCAGTCCGACTTCGACCATTTAGGATCCTGTGGCAACTTCAATGGAATATCAATGGAATACATGAGTCAGTGCAATTAGGGATGCTTCTTAGACTCGGACAATCCCCTGTCGAAGCTTTTTACACCCTCTTCAAAGGATCTTTGGACTGTCCTTTCCAGCAAGTCATCAACAAGCTCTTGCCTCAGTGGTGTGTGAGTTGTCCGCTTCGGGTTCCCCTCTCATGTGAGGTTGGAGGTCCGTCAGTCTCCGGTGCAAAGCGAAGCACACGAAGCAAGAAACGCCCACGCGCGCTGTCTGCGCCTTGAAGGGTTCTTGCCCGCCTCGGAAGGACTCAGGTGGGGACTTCGTGGGCTCAGGTGGACTTCAGATCAGCAGAATCTCCAGACCTTCTGAATGTGCGTACTCATCTGGTAAAGTTAGTTAAAACAAAAACATATCCACAAGCATGGGATCATGATGATCATCTTATGTTGAAACATGTTGAAACAAGTCCACAAGCAGCTTGAGCTGGTTGAGCCGATCTGACGGCATGATCTCCCAATCAACGTCCAGCCAACTGAGACATCGGCCAAAGTGAAGAGGTGTCGAAAACCCGAATCCTGGTCCTGCAGCGTCGGAGGTCAAATGGCCAAAGCAAAAGCTCGGTGGCGATGAGGGACCTTGAGGGTGCTGCCGACCTTGGATATCTTGAAACGCCTCACCTGGAGTGCCAAGGATATGCAAGGATCTACTGATTCTATTGAAAGAACCATGGGTTTCTTTTTTGCTCAGGGAGTATATCTGATGTCTATATGTTCCATCTATTTCCCCAAACAAAAAGCAAAAACGCCCCCAACGCGCCCCCCCGTCCCGGCCCGAACGGCACGGCCCCCACGGCACCGGGCAGCCCGAACGGCAAAGGACTGGACCCACTCGACGGCATCGTCCGAGCTTTGAAGGCTCGAAGGCGCCTCCGTCACCTCAGGTGTCCACTGTATAAGACAGTCATATTGAACGGATATTGTAGAATATCTATTGTATAATAGACCATAACAGAATAGTCAAGATAGATTGTTATACGGATACAATACTGTATAATGGACCTGGATCTTCCAACTTTGCCATATGCAGAATTTCTGCCGAACTTGGCTTGCTTTATAGATGAAACATACATAAATTTGACACAGTTGGAAGATCCAGGTATACATGTACATATTTAATAGTCTATATATATATTAATTTAACACATATTTGGTTCAATATTACATTGATAGAAGTACAAAAGACTATGTTTGGGACAGTTTCGGACCCCTGATTCCTTTTTCGGGTCACTGAAAGACCATGTTTTAAATAGTCTTGGACTCTGAGGCTATATTTAACACTGTGTTCTTCAAAGTGATCTTTTGATCCCAAGGTTTGAGGTCACTTACGTAGGCCTGTACACCACACCAGCAAATCCTTCAACAAGTGGGTTGAAATCTCTACTAGCTTTGGAACAGCAAAGAAAACCATCGGAACGCCCTTCACCTTGGATGTTGATTTGTTTGCCAAGTGGTACGCATTCAATATTGAAGCTTATCATGTTTCAAGTCAGTGTGTCTTAGACTCAGGCAGAAAAACGTCAATAGACCACAATCGCCGGCTGCTTTTCAATTTACAGTAATGCAATGTTGTTTCACGTTGTTTCTATAGGCAGACGCAAACAACGACGAACGCCTCACATCTCATATCATTGAGTTATCGCTGCTGTGACTGAGCGGATTCGTTTTTGCCACAAGCAACGAGAACTCCAGCAATGCTTTTCTCGGTGATGGCTCGAAGACAGCAAAATCCTAACTTGAGGCCTCCGAAGATGACGGCCATGAAGGCAACTCCCTCCATTGACATGTAGTTAGTGAGTCTGCAAAGTGAAATCACTCCCAGTCCCCAGCCATGTGAATACCGTGCCACGATTTGCTGGGCATTTCTGCTCAGACGTTCCGAGACGTTGGAGGATCCTCACCCGCATCCACCAGCTTAGACCCAAGGATCTCATCTTATTCCACTCCATCGCATGGCTGAGCCCAACTCTGAACTCTCGAAACCAGCCTTCGGAAGCCGAACGGCACCTGATCGGCACCCAGTTGATGCATCTCATCGGGTGGTTTTCACGGCTTTTCAAAGCTATAGTCTCGCTCGACTCGGCAGATCCGCGTCGTGTAGCGGCGATACCAATCTCTCTTGCCCTTCTTCTGCGCCATCAAATGTGCTCCGTGGGCCTGACGCGGCGGCTGTGGCGGCGGTGTCTGTACCCTACCTGACCAAGGCAATAATCATCCCAAACCTGACAGGGGCCATATTAGTGTGGCAGCTTTGGATGTTCAAGCCCTGTTTGCCACAATATGGCCATGCGTTTCTTTGGTCATCACCTGGAGTGAAGGGTTCAAATCCAGCGATGCTGTTCCTGACATTGTAGCTAAGCCTAGCTTCAGCTTAGCCCGTTTGACCCGGCTTCCGGAGATCGACGTTGGAACTACAGGAACTGCATCGCCGGCGAAACTCTACAATAGAAGCATCTAACAAGTCTTGATAGTCTTGTTTCTCAACTGACTATCCCATTGGCTGTCTTGTGTGCGAGGGAATATCCAAAAGGCAGCCACCCTAAACCTCATAAATTGAGAGTTAACAAACAAAAGTATCAACCAACAAACACCAAGTAACAGCAATTCCATCCAATTTTGGTGTCCCACCCAATACCCCAGTTCCAAACCATAACCATACGCGACAGACCGACCACACCTAGACCGTTCGTCCCGTCTAGAGGATTGGGCGCCTTCCAATGGGCGATGTCCTCCTCTGATCTCCAGTAGCTCACAGTGATACCCACCGTGTCCCGTGCACTCTCCACGCCCAGGAATCCTGGCGAGTCCCAGTAGGAGCGAATCCGTTGAGCTAACGCGCACAACGCCATCGGGTCATGCGCAAAGAACACAACAAAAATGTCGATCCTGTTCTGCTCGGCAAAGAAAAGGAGTCGTAGATTCGTAGATGTTACCATGGGTTGTGGTTTCAAGTATCTTCATATTTATACATTATATACATTATATTATATCATGTATCTTTGAAATCTCAAGTAGAAAAGTTGCATTCTACTTTTAAAAAAATACCTTCATTTACATTTCAGGGCTGCAACTACCAGCAGGAACAACAAGTCTGTTCATATGTTGGACAAGCACGCAAGCAGCCAGGATCAGCCAGGTGTGGTGCTCGCTGATAAACACTGGATTGGAACAGCGTGCAGCGGGTGGCCACACCGTTGCATTGAGATTTCTGGTGTGCATTGAGATTTCTGGTGCGTCTTGGGCCACACCCAAGACGACACAAGTGTAAACTTCATGGAACATCTTGGCTTGGCAATGCTTCAACTGGGATGAAACACCAAACTGAAACCATCAAAAACCATGCTGTTGATGAACGAAATCCTGCACCACCTCACCACTTTACCCTGGAAGGGTCGCATAGCAACAACCCCTGCGCCCCCTCATTCAATGTTGGAGCGACGCCTCTGAGGAGGTGGTGCAGGATGTTTGACCTTCAACTCGTTTTAATTGTCTCACTGTGGTGGCCCCAATGTTGATGAGGGAGAATGAGGGCAGCAAGAAAACTGTGCGGCAAAGCGGTGCAGGATTTTGGACCTTTAACTCTGTGGTGGCCCCAATGTTGATGAGGGAGAACGAGGGCAGCAAGAAAACTGCGGGCAAAGCGGTGCAGGATGTTGTCCATCAACAGCCAACAGTAGCTCCGAAGAAACACTCCAAAAAGATCGAGATCTCACCAACTACCCACGGACCCGACCAATTCCCAGCCAAAATCAGGTCAATGCAAGGCCACAACGTCTCCTGGCTGCTTTTTTGCCAGCTCCACCATGCGCTCAGCCATCTCATCGTAACCTTCCTGTTCAGAACCAAAGCGGTACATTATTTGGGCCATGAATTTGGCAATCTTATGACATCTTATGACCCAAACAGGTAACATGCAAACATCCTTACTCTTGAAAGTGTCCTGCAAATGTTAGCACTTAGCAACGCAGCAAGGCAAATCGTCCAATTCTTGGCATGTCCATCGGTCCAACTATCCGGTCCCCAGAGCGGATCCGGAGAACAGCCGCATTGCAGAGAGGCCCGGAAGGCCGAACAGAGAGACTCGTCCCTTGCTTCCAATGCCCATTGGAGGCAAAGAAACACACATGAATCACATCTGAAACAACACCTATAGAAGTTCATCAAAACCAAAAATCCTTTTGGTCATATTCTAAGTGCTAGCTGTCCACTATATAGAAGTTCATCCGAATTCCATGCCTCCACACCCGTTCGCTCGCTGGTGAAGATCACCGCCCAATAGGGAGCCTTTGGCGTCGCCACGCCACTGCTGGAGCGCATGACTCGCGCGAGTCGGAGCTGCGGGGAAAGCGCCAACCGCGGCCGGAACATGGCAGTGGAGGCGATTTCGGCCGGAAGCAAGTGGCACCAGGCACCACCGGTTCCACAGTGGTATGGGCCCTCTTCCTTTGCGCAAAAGAATCTATATAGCTTGCAAACATTGTCCAAAACAAAAGGGCGTGCAGAAAACCATTTCTTTTTCATTGTATTTCAATGTGCATTTTGTCTTGGAGGCAACTTTGCCGCTCTTAAACCAAATGAGTGATTGAACATGCCGAAATAAAAATGCAATTCCATATATATATATATATATGTTCAATTGTGCCAATGGACGGTAAAATAAAACCAAACTAACTCGAAACAAACTCAACCCCTCTTGGCAAAGCACCACCACGTACAAGTTCAAAAGGATCTCGTTGCCAAGAAGATACCTCAGCCCGACTGGACGATGGTATGTGTTTTCAAAACCATTCAAAACCAGTTGCGCCACTGCGTGGGAGAATCAGTGAAGGGTCTTGCCATGTCTTCCCAGAACGGCCAACCTTGAGTGCAACATAATACCATGATTTGTTAATTGAAAAAATTATATAACAATTTGTGAATATTTGTCATTTTCCATGACTCCCGGCCTTCAGCAAAAGTGTCTCTTCTGCGGTGTCACGGTAAGGGGCAGTGTTTGGTTTCGTTCAGAGTTGGTCCAAAGGGACCCCCAAAACATAAGGATCATATGCTTAACCACAGCACCGGGCCGGCGTCCAACCAATTCTCTAATTTAAACAACGTCCGAACAAAGATCCATTCACTCTTGAGGTCGCCAACAGTATTTTTTCCTGCTGGCGCCCTTGAAACAGAACGAGTTCTATAGCAACCGATGCTAGGATCGTCGCATCTCGTTGTTTGTCGACGAGTACACCCCGATTAGACAGGCACACAGATTTGAGAATTCCAAAAGGATTTGCACTGATCATAGCACAGTCTGAGAGACAGAAACTGATTGTTTCAAGGTAAGTTGGAGGTTTTTCTGGGGCACATCAGGAATAAAGAAAGGTGTCCTGTTCATCAACAATCTGGATCTAAGCTAGTGGTTTCTAAGCCAGTGGTTAGGGGTGTCTTGAGTGAGGCATGATGAGGCTGTTCAATCTGGAGAAGTTTCGTGCCACCCTCTGTGCTGAGAACGTTGCCATCCTCACCCGCTTTCCGCGAGCATCCAGCAACACGAAGCCACCGGAGGCCCCTTGTCTAATCTGAATCTGATTGGGGATGACTGCCCAAATCTGCAAATAAATGATGCCACTTGTCAGGTGCAAGCCAGCCACTGCAGTAGGAAGACGAGTCGATGCATGAGCTCCTCTGAGACGGTGCCAAACGGCAACACATAGAGGAGGACATTGATGCCGCGCGGCGCCTAAGTGCAGTCAGGCATTTTTGAGCGTGCATAGTGGCCACACTGGATTTCTGGGTCGCTTGCTGGCAGCTTGCAGTTTCGCAATGCAATGTTCCGCACGAAGCGGCCAATTTAGTGTGTAAACATGTTGCCATCTCACATACTGCATGGCAAGCACTACATGAATCATTGAATCATGCTATGACAACCGCACGACTGCGCTGGAAAGCTATTGCAGATTGTCTCAACGAGTGTGTGGCTGTCAGCTGTTCGAACCATGACAGTCTTCTGTGCCGATGTGGTCAGGTACCAACTGCCCTCTGAGCGGGTCAGTAGTAGTGGCTGCAAAACTATTGCACTTGCAAATGTCCAAACGTTCAAAACAGCCCCTGCATCCCCTCAACACCTATGAACTTGAGACCCCACTCCATATTGAGGGCTTGGCCTTTACATAAGAGCTCGCGGCATCTCCAAACTCAGTACGACACCACCAACGCTGCAAGTGCAAAGACCAGTCGGCCCCAGCAATTGCGCTTCGCATGTCCTTTCACCGCCGAAGGCCTTTTACCCCACCTAATTGTACCTAAACTGAGCAAAACCAGCCCCAGATAATGTATCATATTGCACACTTTCACCAGGACCCAAGAAATGTTCACCCTTGCTTAGGACATGTTTCCCATGTCAGATCAGCATGAGAAGACTGCAAGCGAAAGCTACAAGCGAGTGCTACAATGAACCTCCACCTCAGATTGTCTACAAAACGACCCCTCAATGACCGGGCCAGTGGTAGCCAAACCCATGACCAGGGTTTGGTGTTGCGGAGGGGTCAGAACTGGTCAACAACTTGGTTGAGGTCATGGCCAGCCGTAGGAACCTTGGATGGTTCTGTCCTGCAAGAACTGGCACATTCCTACAAAAACTGGCTTGAAAGTCGGGGAGAGATCTGACTTTACCTATATCTTTTTTCACTCTAGCCCCCATGCTGCCACAATGCCGCTCATGTGATCATGTGATAGCCGCATCACATCGCGCCAACTTGGCAGCCCATAGCAGTCACAAAAACATACAGCATGTAACAATCAATAATACACATTAATACACCAACAACGCGGGCAGGCATTGGCGAACTTTGCTCTGAACGGCACTTCATGGGGCCTCGACCCAGGCCTTAGTCAGAATAGTATATCTTTGAGAGCAGTTCTTTATTCAACTCTTTGTGCACTTCTTAAGCGATTGGCCACACCGGCTAGCCTACTTCTGTATTCAACAAACATGGAACAATATCTACCAGGAAACATGCAGCAACTCTGTGCCGGAAAGTGTGGGAAAGAAAACAAAGGATTCATGGGTGATTATCATTACCCAATGTATAATGTATCATGAATCATCTATCTGGAAAACGGTGATTTGATTATCAAACGGTGATTGAAGTATCTGGAAAATATGTATCATGTAACCAATTTGTCCACCCGTTGGATTTGAGTAGGGTGTCTTCACAAGAAGACTTGGGTGTCTTCACCCATAGGAAGTGATTGCAAAAAAGCTCCATAACACGTTTCCAAGGCGTGTGGACTTGCCAACACTTCCAAGAAATGCATGTTCAGCACATCCCCCATGGTTTCTGGCCTCCAGGCCTTCCATACCAAGGTTGAAAGCGGCTGTGTCACGGGGCGGAAGATGCCCAGGATCCCAAAACCAACGATTGGGTTCTGGGTCATATCATATGCTATATAGTGACATAAACAATATGCATGGTATATAGTATTAATAATTAAATATATTGCAGTACTATATTTAACTTTGAAACAGTATTTAGTTGATCATCCGCCCTGGCATCCGCCGCTGAAAACGTGTCGCTCCAACGTCCGTCGCCCGGGCGCCAACAGGTAGAGATCGCTCAAAAGTTCCCGTGCCTGGGCAGCGGAGGCCCGGGAGGCTTTCGGTGCCATGCCCCCGTGCTGCATGCGCGGTCAACGGATGGAGAAACGAGTGACCAAGGCAGCCTTCTGGCGTCGTTCCACAAACACGTTCCACAACACGTTAACATCAAGGCAGTACGTGATTGGATACATGATGACTTTCTTGGATGCAGGAGCGTCTTCATGACACTGCATTCCCCGGAAGTCCACGATCGCACTCTTTTGTGCTTGGCCGCAATGAACATTTGCTGGAGGTATCCAGCCCCTATGTTCCTCACGCATAAGCAAACGTTGATAAACCATTGAAATTCATGGGAAAACTGCCGCACATGAACCACTTCACTTCAAGCACCTAGTCCGACATCCATTCAGGCCCTTCGCTTCACCTCTTCGCTTCTCCTCTCTTTGCAGAACGCCTCGTAGATGTATATGATGTATAGACGGATATAAATGTAATTGTTATGTATTATATATATATATATATTGTATCTATTTAGAATTACTTAAACCAAGAAAAAAAAACAACTATATATTTATATACATTACATCATTCTATGTTCCTTCTATATACATGTCTTGTTCAGCGCCTCATCTTGAGCTGGAAGGCCTGTGCTCGCCTGTGTCTGTCCAGACTCGTGGAAGACTTGCAGAGCGTGTTTCCCGGTCTGACATGACACCCTAACACCCTAGCTGTCTGTCACTGGAGCATAGCAAGGCAAGGAAAACCAACACCCTCTCAGACTCATCCTGATGAACGGTAGAAAAGATCCGCTGTACCACTTGGGAACATATTTGGCCTTGTGCTTGGATCTGCCTCATGCCAAGTTCACCATGTAATTCTATTTGTATATTTCTGGATGTATGTAGGCGGATATAGACTTTCCATGCAGAATCTACTGCAAGCAGCGGTTGACAACCTGTGTGTGTGTGTGTCGAGCTCGGTCGGGTTCAACATGATAGTACTTGAAATCTCCTTTGGGTTCAAAAAGGAGCAGTGAGTTTTCATGGATTCCAGGAAGAGCATCTTTTGCAACAACCGCGATTCCTATTGCCTATGATCATGAAACATGATTCCAAACATGCTGGCAGAATTGAGGGTGAATCAAGGGTATCTATTTCAGGCCTTTAAAAGCACAGGAAGTTCATTTCTGGCCCAAACTATAACAATGACTTTGCCAGTGGCACAAAACCCTCAGAATCGGGAAGCTGGTTACCCCACAAACAGTGGTTCAGCGGTTCAATCCGCGGCTTCTTTCAATGTCTTTCCATTTCATCCCAGGTCTCATGCCCAAACCCCAAGATCTAGGGCTCCATTTGTTCCCACCTCACGACCTCCCACCACTCACGACCCCACCCCCACCTGTCCGCCACCTATCCCCACCTGGTCACCTCCGCCTCTGCGAACGGATCAGTCCCCGTGACGATCGACGGTCCAACGAGCGATCCAACGAGCGGGACCACCTGGATCTCCAGGATGCTCATGGAGCCGTCATAGGGTTCCCAGTGGCTCACCTCGGAGCGGTCTGGAACGGAGTGTGGGAACCAACAAAAATGGGATAGAAAGCTCAACTAAACAAAATGGATTGAAGAAATGGATAACAAATGGATTGAACACGACACGAAACTATCGATTGTGCTTGAAAACTCTTGAACATATGTGAAACAAATGGAATTGTCTTCCTCGATGCGAGTTGTCCTCTTGAGTACTTTGACCTGGGTCTGACCCACACATTGACGACAGGATTGACCTAAAAGAACAACGGCTCACGCAGGGCTCAGCAAACCAAACCATCCATGCCCTTGGCGCCCTCGGCACCCTGGCACAGCGGCCCTGTCGACGACTGCCCGGGGCGGCGTCCTGGTGGACCAAAGCGGCAAAGGCTGGGAGATCAAAGGTGAACACATGTGAAAACACTCCCGGCAGCCATGGATGAGTACATGAGAATGGTTCTAAAACGATCGGAGGTAAGTAGAAACTTTGAGCAACATCCTCTTATAAGGACCTTTGATTTTTCCGGATTTTGTTGGGATGGAGTTTGATATGGACCAGCTATGACGAGCTAGGTTTCACGGACCAGGCCATGTCACAGCAGAGGATTTGCGCCCCTGTTTTGCAGCCCAAAAGGAATATATGTGTTTTGTTGGTGCCAAATATAGTCACATGGACTTCTATAGGGAATGACAACACATAAAAACTCCATTGCTTGCCTGGCCCCATCACGCAGGCCGATCAGCGCATGGTGAGCGCATGTCTTTTCGTTGGTGAGCGCAGTGCGAGGACAAACGATGTTGATGTCCTTCCTCCAAGTCAACGCAAGCAAACGCATGCCCTGGTTTTGCGGAGTCTTCGATGGAGGTCAGAGACATCATTGTTCGACTTGATAGTCGTGACACTCAATCTGATGAAGCTCTCCTAGGTCTCCCAGTGAGCCACTCTTTGTCTCACTGTAGTTCCAAACAAAGAAAGCCCCAGGAGACGTGTGAACACCCTCATAAAACTTCCCAAAGACCTTGGCCAGAACAGCCTCCAAGACTTTGCTATGCGTCACAAAGAGGACCACGTCACCATCCTTCAAGGCACATTGGACGTGTGATCGAGAGCCGTTGTCACAGTTGCTTGAGAAGGACCCCTTTTACGAATGACTATGATGAGGGAAATCAAACATTTATTGGCAGTATAAATATCCATTGACAGTATACCCCTCACGAACAGTGCAAACATGTGCAAACGTCTTTGTACTATCTTGTGCTTTCAGCAACATACAAACCAACTTCATTACTTACAAATATCAAGGCTATACAAATCAGGTTCCAAGTACCTTATCAGAAGGTGATGTGTTCAACACTGTTATGTAGGTGCCATGGTCGGGCCCAGTCACCAGTCGTACCGAAGGTCATATGCAAAAGCCATGCAAAGTTATTAGGCTATACTTGCCCCGAATCAGGTTCCACCACCCTTCAAAAACTAAAACAACGTAAAACATCAAAACAATGTTTGGACCGCTTCGTCGTCTCCTCTGAGGCCTCGAACACTTCCGCCGCCAGGGCTTCCACGCGCAACGACGTCTCCGAGGGCGTCTCCAAACCCTCGAAGTAGGCCTTGTGCAAACGTTCCTGGGGACTCAAGCTGGCCAAGGTTCGGAACAACTCCGCGTGCTGGGAATAGATGTCACCTGCATGTCAGGGACTTAAGCATTGACTCACACAAAAACTGTCATGACTCAGTCAGTTACTGACCGTTTTTTGGGGGGAAGAATGAATTGGGGTGCAATTGTTTGGAAGAATGGGAAGTCCTTGAACCCCGGATCTTCCGAACTGTCCAAGCAAAAAAGCCAGCAAGCCTGGACAGCAGTGGAGTCTCTTGTACTTGTACAGCTATCTTTGAGACTTTGAGGGTGGAACAAATATGAACAATTAATAACAATTAACATTCAAGAACCGAATTCAATCTTGTTCCTTGCCTTCCACCAATCGCAACACCAACAAAAAGACAAAAACAACACACACAAGTCTTCTCCCGGCCTTTCACCATCCCCTCGAACTTCCCCAAGCTGGGCTCACGCAGCCGTTCCTCCACTTCGACCTCCGTCGGCGTAGAGCTCCCCGCCGTCGTCGCCATCGCCGCGGCGTAGAGCTCCGCGGTGCGCTTCGCGCGCTTCAGGTCCGAGGTGAAAATCTTCGGCGTCTTCGAAGCGATCTTGGAGGCTAAGAGGCGTCCAGTCTCCTCTGGGGGGGGACGCATGGGGACGCATGAGGTGGAGGATGGTGGAGGTCTTTATATCTTTATAGTTGCTACTCTGGTTGCTGGGCATGGGATCTTGTTGGGTTTGCTCGTTGAAAATCCCAGTGTGGGACAGTAACCCCCAACGAAGATCTGAGAGACCCCGAACTATCAGCCCTCCTTGTTCATTCTATGTTTGTTTTCTCCATCAAAGCCTCTCCTCAGCTTGTCTGATCCCCTCCGGTGCCAGTTCAGTATCCTGCTGACCCTGCCACTTCTTCGCCAAGTTCCACGTCGTGGTGCCGTGACGACACATGTAGATCCGCAGCCTCTTGGACGACGCAGGTGGATCCGACACCGCAGCCGGGCGCTTCATGACGTGGCGCCGAGTGGGCGGCGAAGGCACACCCAGCCTTTGGAGAGACTTGATGTGAGCTTTAAGGTCGAGGAATTTGGTTGAATTGGTGCCATCTGCACCTGTCTGCTCGGTATTTTCTGTTTGACATTGTTGGTATCTATCATTTAATTTCGGTGTGAATGAGATTCATGGCTGCAACATCTGAATCGGAATGGATGTGCGGGAACATGCTGCGAGTGAGCTTGTGAGTGACACTTTCCCTTATTCAGCTATTTGATTTTGAGCCTGGGCAGTTTGTACACGTGAATGAACGCACTCAAGCGTCAAAGACTCCAATTAAGCTGCTAACCAACTGTGGCACGTCCAAGTGCAGCTGCAACTCTAATCCTGCTATATCCTGCTCAGCACGAGGATGACATCAAAACATGGTCTATACCTGCATCCTCCCACTGTGCAAAATTCCTGCCTTCTCATCTGAAAAGCCTGCCAAGTTCGGCACACATATTGCATGTAGTTGGAAGATCCCAAGTATATACTCCAATACTTGGATGCGATGTAGTTGGAACTCCCCAACTAGATCCCACATATTGCATGTAGTTGGTAGCAACTTGGACTCCCCCCCACCCCCAAGTGACCGCGATCCACACCACGCCAACGCCGCGTGGGGCTGCGTCGTCGGCGCTCCGGAACGCCCCACAGTAACTGGGTCAGGCTCCGCGGCCCCGTCGCCAGGATGGTCCTCGAGCCGGGTGGTCCCGGTTCCGGGACCTGAGGAATGGGGAACTTCTGGTCATTCACCTGCAGGAAACGTACAGTCATTAAGGACATGTCCCAATGTGTAAAGATTGTTCCACTTCCGTAGGATCCAAACGGCTTGTCCCAAAGGCGTCCACATTTACTTTCGCCGTGCATGGATTTTGAGCACATGTTTGCAACCCCCGATTTAAGGCATTTACGTGGTGAACATTCTGCATTGTGCCAGGCAGCTACATGTGGCACATGTTCTGGTCTGTTGGGGCAGAATGTTAAAACCTCAAGTCCCTAATTAAGCAAAAGACTCTCTATTATAAGACACATATATATATATACTTAATAATACTAGATACATAGACACACCTACTTAGAATGGTTTGCTGATTTGAGTACATAATCATATTTTAAAGTCTTGCTCTGTAACATCTTAAAACTCTTACCTGAAATCATTCAAGCTGATGGACAGAATCCTGTGACGAGATATATACTGTAAATACACTGTAAATATCTCAACTTCAGTACAAAAATTGATCCCATGAATCCGTCATTTCGACATATTGGGTGAACATCCATTACTTGGCCATGGCTCAAATGCGACCCCGAAGGCAAGGCGTTGGCTTCAGCTTTCTCCAAGAGGACGTCCGCATTGGTTAACTGGCCACGTTGAGAGGCGAGGTGAGCGAGGCGATCGTTGAGACCCCGAAGGCAAAGGCAGTTTGCGCACCCGCACCCATATTCCAGGCCTAACATGTGTCTCAACACCTATAGAAACATTGCAAGACCATGCAAATCAACAGTCGCAAAAAAAAAACAAACTGTTCTGCCTGATTCTTAGAGTAGTACATTACATTCAAAAACCATCCAGCATAGATGCAAAAAGGGGTCAAACTACTGTTCAACCAAACATACCCCCACAGTTCCCAACAACTCCAGGCCATCCGATCCTATTCCACTTTTTCTGAAGTCCAAATCTATGATATAATATACAGTAGCCCAAAGGATCCATGGCAAATATATACCAACATTCACCACTCAGGAAAAAAACACCACATGTAGTATCATGATGTCTCATGTAGGGCCATATTTGCTTACATGCATCTGTTGGGCTAAATTGTTTTCTGCCATGTCTTCAGCCTCTTCGCCCCCGCAGGTCGACACCCCGGCCATCCCGTCGTCGCTGGCCTCCTCCAAGTCGTCCACAAAGCGCACCGCATCGGCGCGGTCGTCGCCCACGTCCTCCTGTCCGGGACAGGTGCAGCTGCAGGACCTCGGCCGGGCTGCCACGACATCATCGCGACGGGTCGGGTCGCGGTTTTCGGGCGCAGGTCGGGCGCAGTGCAGAAGTCATGGCAAGGTCTCAAAGCAGTCCGTCGTTTGGTGTGTTTTGCGGTGTTTGTGATGTGTTTTTTTCCGAATGCAGGATGGGGTAGATGATAGATGAATGTTGGGGTGAGCTTTGGAATACCCGGAAACCGGTAAAGGAGAAGAAGAACAACCCCCCAAAATAGATCAACACAATGGTATTCCTTGCAGTAGATTGGTTCGAGGGCACCAAACAGCAAGTCAGCAATCAACACTCAAGGCCCTTGTAAATCAAAGACCTTTGGGCCTTTGGCTTCAAACGTTGATCTGGACTGGCATGAACAATCTGACAGCCTTCACCATATAGCTTTTAAAAGATAGAACCCCCCTCACTGCACAAAGCAGAGCGGCGCATCCTGGCCTTTGTGGGTATGGCTGTGGGTCATGGCACTCGGAGACCCACTGGTGGACCGGTGGACCTGGTGGTCCGGTCGTAGACCTGCTACGGCGGTGGCCCATACTCCAAATCACTTCATGTTTACCCCATCTGGGAGTCTATGATCCACCACCGATAGCGGCTATAGAGGTATTCAAAAGGAGTCAATGCATGGACTGGTGAACTTGTGGATCGCAGAACGTCTATATATATATATAGTTATGATACAATACCAATTTGGCGGATCGTTCCGACGTTTTTTTCCAAAACCCCAGCTGTCACCACCTTTGGTCGCGGCTGGCAAGATGTGGCTGGGCCCTCTGCAGCACCACCCCTAATACTCTCCAGTAAGCATCACTAGTGGTGGATGAAGGCGGTTGCAGCCTTTCACGAGTGCATTTACGCAGTGGGATATAATCATGTAGAATCTGAGGCGCAATGAGTAATGTTTTTGAGTGGTCACAGTGCCCCTTATAAATGCCACATGATGCCACTAGCAAGAACATCCATCAACTGCACTTCTTCATCCTTCTCAAACACTCCATGGATCCAGAAGACTGGCCAACATGTGACGGTGACTTTAACATGAATTTAAGGATCCATGCTGGTTAGACATCTTCTAGACATGGATTGTCGGTACATCTCCCAGGTCCAATCCTCATGGGAGGGTCAGAAGCCCTGGAGCCTTCTGCCTTCCCGCAACCCTTCGACCGCCAGGTCTCCCGGCCAGGGGAGGTCGAGCCCAAGCCAGTGGCGCATCGCCCTAAAAAAGGGCGATCACGTGCGATCGTGGAGGCATCAATCCACCAAAAAAGAGCCCAAGAACGGTCAGGATGGCAAGAGAATTCCAGAGATCGCCATACTTTGCCTTCCGAACGCATTTCGCTGGCCGTACTCTTTCGCAGAGTTTGGTCGGCGCCTCGGAGGTCTTCAGCGGCCTGCATCCATGCGCCTGGCGTTGACAGCCCCCATAAGAGGCGTGGGTGCTAAGAGGCGTTGGGTGTAGATGAACTCTTGGAACTCAGGAGCCGGAGCATGCTCCACTGCGAAAAAACAGACCGAACTCGGGAAGTCAAGCGGAGCGCCCCGGCCGAAGCGGACCATCGCCCCTTGGAAAACGAGATTCCTCCACAAATGGGTGAACGAAGTACCAGGACCCTTCAACAAATCACCACCCACCTTTAAGTCTGCAAAAACCACCAGAGGAGACCTGTTGGAAGGCGTGTGCTACATAAATATAACTATACACCTTCTGCTTCCATTACCTTCTTTTGGTTGGGGGATGCCAAAAAACATAGTGTGTTTTGTTGTTTTTAATAACCAGGTCATTAGAATTCTCAATCTGTACATTGCGGTCTCATACCCTAAAAAAAGGTATTGGATCATACCCAAAATGACATGATACAAGTGCAGCATGCTTCATGGATCAAAAAGATTCAACATGCACATGCATGAAACTCTATATTTGACTCAAACTCAAGTCATTCAGTGACTCAGTAGCTGAACTTGTTGTTTTTCGCGCCTATAGGGGCGTGCCATCGGAGATCAGGTCCAGAGCTAAAGGAATCATCGCAGCGTTGGGGGTTTCAAACAAGAAGCCGGCGAAACAACAATGAACAACTACATTTGGCGAACAGGACAACTTCAAATATCAAGATTCAGACTTCACCTTTTTAGATTCTTTTGGAGGTTGCCTCATTCATTTGCTACCGGAGATGCGTTCTTAGCTGAAAGTCTTGGCTCCGGCCGCAGATTTCAGCAGCAAAGACATCCTGGTGGCCACACAATGAAAGCGACCGGGCCGTGATCCATCTTCAGCATTCATGACTTCTAGTGAAGCCACATCTTGAGCATGGTCTTGCGCATGTTGATCTTCTAATTTCTCATCTTCTGGCTAATGGCTTGGGCTGAACTGCTCAGCAGTATGCCCTTGAGCCCACCAGTGGATTGGCAACACTGGTCAGACACTGAGATTGTGAAATGCTGTACTCACATCCAACTTCTTTAAAGGTCACTGACCTCGCAGAAAATAGTCCTAAATCAGCTTGTCTTCTTGCAAAGCAGAGCTTACAACATGCCAATGATTTATGACGATCACCAACGACACCAGCTACGCTACAAGTATCAGCACCTTCCAACAGGTCTCCTCTGGTGGCTTTCGCAAACTTGAAAGTGCCAACTTAACAAACCAACGAACTGGAAACCCTCTATAACCGTCACCCCGACGGGGCCCCCACGACCCAAGAAGCCGCTTCCACCGCCAGTCCACAGCCGTTGCACCGCGCGACCGGCCTTTTTTCGGGGCGACCGAGCGACGGTCACTCGCAGCTCTGCCAGTACTGCCTCCGCACGACACGCGCGGGTCGCGGCGGCGCGGTTGGTCCGATGCGCGGTGGGTCCATCACTGGGTCCAGCGCATGTGAATAAGAGCATCATTGCTTGGAGGAATGTGACAACAGAAATTCGAGAAGTGAAATGAAACTCTTAGCTAAGAGATGTTGAGACCACCCGTCTCCCGAGGGCGCAAACGGGACTCTGCCGGCACGCCTGGTTCGCATCTCCCTCAGGCGGGACTCTGCACGCTCGCTGGCACGGATGGCCTGAAGGCATAGTGAGTCCGGTGGATCTGAAGCATAATCCTAGAGAACCAAAGAAACTTAAAGAAACCCTTAAAAAGAAGTGTCATACCCTGAAAATACACGAGGTTTTTAAAGAAAACACAAGTTTTGTTGACTTCCTCAAAACGATACGACTGCCCACGGGATTCTATGGGTTTTCTATAGTTTTCTACGGGTTTTCTACGGTATATATACGGGCTCAAAACTTAGTGCTTTGGAAAAAACGATGTTTTCGACAGAAAAACGATGTTTGAAGTCAAGTGGAGCCAAAACATGATGTATTCCATCAAACACGACTAATTCGTAGGTTTTGGGTTCAATTGGTATTTTTTAAACAATGTATATATATATAATATATAAACCGAAATTAGGGTTTCGGACATGGTGTTTTTCTAATTGGGGAGGTTTTTCTAGTATGTACTCGGGATTATGTAGGACTCCAAGCACGGAATCTACCAGCACCATCTCGACTCGAGTCTGCCAGGTCACCTATTTTTGACCTATGGAGTCAGGTGCTGGTATCGGAAGAATCCTCGGCCCCTCCAGCTCGCAGGGGCTCGGACCTGTAAATTTTATCCCTTTTCCATTGGTTCGGGGCCAGGCCGGATGATGAGCTCGGATTTGTTAGGGTAGATTATATCGCTTATGATGATTGGGTGTTTGTTTACTTTTTACATGCCCACAGCGTCGATCGTGGACAAAAACAAAGTCGATGATTTCGTCCCGAACGTCCCTAACTCCCTCATCTCGAGTCGACTCGCCTCGCAAAGAGTGCCGACGGCTTGCGGCGACAGGCCGGCCTCACCAGCCCAGTTCGGGGCCAGAAGGGTTGAGGAAGGGACCCCAAAGAAATCGATCCACCCTTTTCGAGGATCATATGATTGTGTTGACTTGTATATTATAGTAATCTGATGTATGTCTTCGGGAGAAGCCTCTAGAATTCATGTTCCAAGGTTTTGTTCAAAGATCATGCAAAACAGGAAATGCTCATCATAGCCAGTTCCTTGAATCGGAATGCATTGTCAAAACGAGGATGAACTTCCAATGAATGCGAGACTATAACATCAACCTGGTTGTTGTGACCAAAGCAGAATCCAAGACATACCGACTCCGAATCCTGCTGAATCCCAGATACCATATAAATACACCAAATTGATGGCCGAGAATTAGACTAGATTGTGCCTCCACAAGGAACAAAAAGTTCAGAGTGCAATTTTCTTAATGCTGCAGCCATGTCGACTCATCCTCTCAAGGAACTGGTTGCCACCAAGAGCAGTAGAGCAACCAAAAGAGATTCAATTGCAAACGTCATTTCAATGGTGGCGCAGGTCGATACGGCAAAAAACCGATGACGAACCCAGTAGTTTGTGCGAACAAGCTACCAGTTCATGCCACTTCTCTGTATCAACATCAGTGAACGTGAACTGCAAGCGCCAGCGCCACGTGTTTCTTTCTATTTTTATTCTTCCCAATAAGCCCATCTCGCCTTGCCATCGGCCGAATATTGGGCGGTTCTCCTTAATTTGGGCAGGCTCCGCTGGAGGCTAGCTATTTGAGGAACACTATATAATAAGAACATCTCACACAACAGCAAGTACATGCAAGTACCAATCCGAAGTTCAAGGAGTTTTCAGTTGCTGTCATGCCTGTCCATGTCACGTCGAATCACCGAATCGTTTTTCTCCAGCCCCATCCTCCACCGACTGTTCCGCATGACACGGCGGGACTCGCGACGAAGCCGCCAAAGCGACGAAGCAACGACCGCGTTGCTTCCCCTCCGGCATCACGTGCCGGCGCCTGAAGAACAGATATACGTGGAGCGTCCAATTGCTGTCCAATAGAGATTTCGAAGAAGTGTAGTGTAGTCCAGCCAGGACACCCAGACAGGATGGTCCTGGTACCCGGATCGACCCCCAAGTACTTGCGGTCCATTGGATGCCGAACTTCCTCCCATTGTGTAGCCGGCCAAGTTCGGCAGGATCTAGGTCTCTGGGTTTTGATGATGAGTTCCAAAGCCAAAAAAATACAGTGTCTGGGGAACTGAAGGGACTGTAAAGATGGCCATGCCGTCATGTTTGCTTGGAAGCCAATGTCCGGAACCACAAAAAACATGTGAGAACCTGAAGGATGCTATATGTTCACTGAGGATGGAAAAGAAACGGATCATCTTTTCTGAAGTATTGCAAGGTGTTCTTTCTCTTTATACGAGGTCTTTGAAACAAAGATTCACAGATTGACACAGATGTGATTTGGTCAGTTCTTTGACGTCTTTGAAAGAACACTGCTCTCGGATATCTTCCATCCTCGTGTCACCGTGCCACGTTTCTTTTCAATCGCGTGGTGTGTGGGGTGTGGTGGTTCGTTGCATCTCCTTCATCCCTGCCGGTGTTCTGGGACTCCCGGCCATGCCAGATCACTCATGTCACCCTTCACCTGCGGTCGCTCGTTTAAGGTAGAAACAAGTGGTCGACCCGACCAAAAGAACCGCGGAGAAACCTGGGAACAACCGGTGCATAATGACCCCAAAATCCCAAAACTGGCTGTCTTGGAAGATGGTTTGCTCGACGTGATCTCTGATCAAATTTTTCATGTGAGATCTTGCTGCTCCTTCACGAGTGGTTTGCCGGTCATATCATGTATCATCCCAATCCGGCGGTTTTCAGCGACCAAAGGTCTCGAATCCTCGCCTCGTCGCGGATGGCATCAAAGAGTTCTTCCAATGGCACTGCGCTTGAAAGCACCTCAAAGGGGTCACGTTCGCAGCAACTGATGCGATCCGTAGCGCGCAACACCGAGCGTGAACAAAGTTGTTCATCGGTCTATATATCAGTCTCTGGCAGATGGGAAAAGCCGCGAGTATGGAACGTATAGCTTTCGTATCGCCATCTGAAAGCCTCTTCCAAGTATTGTGTTCATAGTGTTATTTATGAACACACTTTAGTTTTGCTTCCCCAAAGGAGGCTACCACAGGACCAATGGAATTTGGACATGCTTCTCAATATGTTTATCAAAGACCTCCAGAGTCCTGACCCAGAATGACGAGAAATAACTCGCTGGGAACATCGAGCGAGACTGTGCAACACATCTGAACACATGGGCAGCCTGGCCTGGCACAAAGTAAAATGCCTCCACTCCCCATTTAACCAAAAGATGTGAAACCTCCGCGGCTCTGTCCATGTCGAAATTGGCCACCAACATGTGCCTGTGGTACTGCCTGTGGTCCATCTGTTGCTGCAGTCACCAACCACAAAAACATCACTCGAAGCACCCGAAGCTTGGCCCATGCGTGGCCCACGACCCGAAGCACCCGAAACTCTAAACCCAACTGGGCACCACTTTGATGCGCCGATCGTAGAGGAGATCCAAAAGCTTCACGAAGCGCCGCACCTTGGAGCAACGACCAGTGGAGGGCGGCTGTTTCCCGCGGAGGAAGAGGGCGGCGACGGAAGACGGTGGCGTTTGTTTTCTTTGCAAGAGGATTCCTCTTTGAGTTTGTTTCGATAGAGGATGTGCTTCAAGTGTCTTTTCTCTAGAGGACTCAAGAAGACCATGTTTTTTTGTAAATTTGTTGATTTGGAAGCTTTGACCAGATGGATGGTGAAAGTTTTGGGTCATGGGACGGAATCTGACAGGAACAGATGCCAACCCACCTGAAACCACCCCCATTTAGGTAAAAGTGCAAATCTCACGGAGCGTCAGGGTATACTTTGCTAGCGCGAGGAATTAGGTGGTGTGACATGGTGGCTCCGGCTTTGGTCTTGTCGGACGACGGAACATGATACAAGGCCATAGCTCTAGCCTTCCCTAGTTGACTTCCCGACATTCCACTGAAGTCTCATCGGCATGGTCGCAGTGTGACAGCTCTGACAAAGCTGTTATAAAGTGTGTATATTATAAACAATAATAGTTATTGTATGTAACCCCCAATCTGAACCTCGAGTACAAGTTCCATGAGTCTGCACTAATTAGTCTCCGTGAATATCAATTCTAGCAAGAGTTCCTGTGAACCACAAGGCTTCGGCTATTGAAACTGGCTTTGAATGTCAACTGCTCTGCGTTTCCGGTGACACGTTAAAACACCAAGGTCGTCACCACGTCGGTGTCTTCCAAGGACGTGAACCTGGGGCGTTGTGAACGGTCGACGCGTTTTGGATGCGATTTTCGAAGGGTTTTTGGTCGCAAAGAACCCGCAGTCGCCTGCAGTTTGGCATCAGTGAGAGACATGTTGAGACATTTGGGCAGTTCGCCATCATGAGCCCCTACAAGTCACACAAGTTGTTGATAACTATATACATATGTATATATTTCTTTATGAGCACAGGGCGTTTGGAGGACTTGGGTGTTTCTTTGGAAACAAACAAATACATCCTCCAATCAGCAAGCTTGAAATCGAGATCTTGGTCCAGCATTCATGCTTTACAGAAGCATGGAATGATGGTCCCCGTCAAATGGATCCAAGTTTTCCTTCTGAATTTCTCGAAGCTTCAAGTGGCAAAGTCATAATGATCCGAAGATCTCCCCTCTCGCGCTTTTCTTGGAGAAATTAGCAGTTCTCACGTAGAGTTTCTAAGTCAAGTGTCCTTGCAGGGCGGCCACCCATTGCACTATAATAAATGAAAGTAGCAAAGCGTGCGTCAATCACTGACAACCTCCTCAAATATTCAAGGTGGCTGCAATTCCTAACACGCCGATCACTTTCATAGTTCCAATTTCTGGGGGCCACCCTGTCCCTAAACCAAAGTAATGCACATCCTCAACCACAGTTTTCACTGAGCTGTTGAGAAAGTGCTGGAGTCAGTTCTTCTGCTCCAATACAGCGCTGGGTAGGGGAGCTAGGTGCTGCTCGATCAGCGTTCCATCAATGAATCAGGACGAAGTCACTTCTCTCTACAAGACCGATATGGACAAAGCCATGCAGTTGACAAAAAGCCATGAATAGCAGGGGGATTGCGGCTGTTCAAAAAATAAACAAGATGGAGCCCACGAACCCGAATGCAAACACGTTCGAAAAGCTAGATATGTCCAAATGACACTCTTGTAGGACACTCGTGTGGGACACTCTTGTGGGTCACTCTTGTAGGAAACTCTTGTGGGACACTCTTACGGGACACTCTTATGGGATTCCCTTGTAGGAAACTCTTGTAGGACACTCTTGTGGGACACTCTTGTAGGACACTCTTGTCGGACACTCTTGTAGGAAACTCTTGTGGGACACTCTTGTGGGACACTCTTGTAGGAAACTCTTGT